TAGGTGTTGCTGGATGTCCGGGCCCGGTTGGAGTGTGAGATCAGCACGTACCGAGGCCTGCTGGAGAGTGAGGACTGCAAGTACGTGAACCCGGCTGAGGCTGAGGCTGTACAGGGAGATGTGTGGGAGGGTTGGGGGAGGCCATAAGAAGCAACTGGATCTACTCATAAGGTAGGACACTGTCATAATTAAAAAGCAATTAGGAAGCTTGTATGATCTAAAGAAAGTCAGGCAAGTATCATGCTGCCATCTCCAAACCCAGCCCATTGGAGATCATTCTGTTATAGTCCAAGCCAACAAACTTCTTCCAAGTGCCCAGTGTGTGCCAGGTGCCAGGGGGATCATCAGGATGGATGATGACAAGGCATTCACTCTCAAGTTGTTTCCATCCATTTAGGGAGGCAGACAGGCAAACGGAAAGCATACTGGCGGGGACGTTTTTCAGCACTTGTGAGAACAATAGGGAGAGCTTCACGAGATGAGCTGGAGCAGCAAGGACAGGAAAGGTCAGCCGAGCTCCGTTCATGGAGAACCATGAAGACCAACCACACTGGGGAGGGAGGCCTTTTTTTTATGGGCAATTGAGAGACCTTGCTTTTTTTTGAGGAGAAAATGATAGAATTTGCTTAATTGCCTATCTCCCCCCACTAGAAGGTAAATACTTGGAGCTCAGAGACAATATAAAATATTTTTATCACCTGCTCTTGGCATATAGTATGTGCAGTAAACATTGCTTGACCAAGTCAGCGAGTGCTCAAAGCTGCTCCTCACAAAGATGACACAGGTGAAGGCAAGAAGGGCTGAGTAGATGGCGGAGGGACCGGGCAGGGACATGCTTCAGGAGGCCTTGGTCAGGGTCTAGGTAATAAGCATCGGGGAGGGTCTGAATCAGGGCAGTGGCAGCATCAGCCTCCAGCTGCTGCACAGATAGAATCAGCATGACTCGGTGGCTGTCTCTGCGAAGGATACCTCTGGGCTGAGACATCTGGTGGGCTGATCACTGTTATAGGTAGTTTCTTATTCTACATTCAGGCTTGCTTCTCTGTCATTTAGAGTCGTGTCCTCCAGAGCAAGAGTTGCAAAGTCAAATGTTTGTCAAGGACCAGGCTGTTAATACACATGAATGATGTGGGTCATAGGGGACTGTGGAGAACCAGGGAGCTGGGCCTGGTCCAGTGAGGGTCGTGCTGCCTCCTCAGAGCCATTTCTGTCACATGAAACTGGTGCTTTTGATTGCTCAAGGGAAGCCAGGTGTCTGGATTTTTTTAAAAATATTAAATTCTCCTGAATTTTAAGCATTTTCAACATATCAAAAACAAATATAATGCCAGCCAAATGAAACACATTTCAGACTGGCTGCGGTCCTCAGACTGCCTGTCTAGTCTCTGGGCTACTTGGTATCCATCCAATATCCAGTGTGTTGTTTCTGGTTTTGAGCCCACACCTATCAGTCTCTGAGATTATTCATTTTCCTTTTACCATGTATTCCTTCTGTATTAATTGATTAATTCATCTTTTTCAACACATTCTTATTAAATGCCTGCTCTAGACTAGGTATGCAGGTGGGTACACATCCATGGCTGTTGACCTTACTGCCCAGTGGAGAGAGAGATCATGATGGAATAATCACAAATCACTCTGGAAGGAAGTACATAGTACCATAGGGAGATTTCACACAGAGAGATCTAGGGGGGCTTCAAGGAGGATATGACATTAGTACTCTTTATCCTGAGTACTAATGGGAGCCACTGAAGGTCTTAGGCAGGGAAGAGGCACGATTAGATTTGTGTTTGTAGAAGATCACTCTGGCCATCATGTTAATGATGGTTAGGAGGAGCAAGAATGGGGTTGGGAGACCAGTTACGGGGCCCCTGGGATTGCACAGATGAAGACGATGGAAGTTGGGACTAGGGAAGTGAGTGGAGAATGAGAGGGTGCGCAGTGGGTGAATTTGGGAGCCATTGGGGGCAGAACCGGATGAATTTGCTGTCCACTCAGGCTTCTTTCTAAACCCCCATGTACCTTTCTTCTGCAGATTGCCCTGTAATCCATGCTCCACAAACTCATGTCCACATTGTGTGCCCTCTCCCAGTGTGCCCTGCACAGTCTGTGTGCCCCGCGCTGCCTGTGTACCTTGCGTGCCCTGCCCCCCAGGCCGCTACTGAAGTCCCTCAGCACCAGGGAATCCTGGAGGGACCAGAGGCGGGCAGCTGGTATCTACTCAGGCCACCTGACCAAGGTTCAGTGGCCATCGAGAGAGCGAGACCAGCCGTGGCCAGCAAGGAAGACTGAGCGGTGCCAGGGGTGGGCAATCTGTCGGCAAGATTCTCGGATACTGCAGGGGGAGCCTTATGCTCCATTTCTTAGAAATGGCCTCTCATTTCCATGGGCTAATTGCTTTCTTTGCTGATATTTCTGGTTCTCTGCTGCCTCAAGAGCATGTGTTCTCCATCCTGGCAAATAAAGCCTCATTCAGTGGCCCTGCAAACATGTCTTTCTCTATTTGTCACTTACGATGCTATCCACCAGCCAATTCTGCAGCTCAGTTGGCATTGAGAGGAATGTAGCCAAATTCTGTATTTGCTTTTATGTCCCTCCACTTCCATAGAGGCTTGCGAGGCATTCGTCAAAAGGTCCACATGCCAGAAACCAGTTAAAACTAAGCAATTAGTTCAGAGCCAAGTAATAAAAGCATAAAGAGAGGAAGGAGATACTTGTGCCAGAAACCTAGGCCAAACAACTGTAAGTGAGAATAATACTGTGATAACCCCACCCCTAAACCTCATTATAGCTGGTACAATGGGATCATTCATTTATAAAGTCTTCACTAATTGCCTGGGAGGTGTAGGTTCTATCTCATGGGCTGGTAGCCCCCTAGATACCTTGTTAATGCTCTATTTAATCCTTGTAACAATCTATGAAAAAGGTACCATTATTTTCTCTACTTTATAAATGAGGAAACTGAGACTCAGGTTAAGAAACTTACTCAAGGTCATATAGTAAGTGGTGGACCCAGGACTCAAATATAGGCCTTCAGGACCCAGAGATGCTCAATTAATTCATATTTTGAGTTCTCACTATTTGCAGATTACACCTGGGTGCAGGAGAATACCAAAAATCCAGATATTTCTAGTTAGAAAGGGAGCTAAGACCAGTGTGTATAAGGCCTCACTCCTTCCTCCATAATAATAATAATAATAATAATAATAATAATAATAATAAAATAATAAGAGTAACCATTACTACCACTTACTGAGCACTTGTGATGCACTTGGTATATTGTCGAGCACATTACATAAATTAACTTATCCAGTTTCATGACCACCTTGGAAGGTAGGAGTCATGTCCATCTTAGAGATGGGAAACTGAGGTTCAGAGAATGGTTTAGTCAGTTGCCCAAAGTTGCATGCAAGGATGAAGATTTGGACCCAGGTCTAGAGGCTTCTACGACAGCATTATTCTAACCACTGCACTACACTGCCAAATTCCTACCTAGAAGGATTACATACTGACAAAGACTGGGAGAAAGTACTAGCTTGGGGAGAGCAGAAAAGGCTTTATTTAGCTGGTGGCCTTTGAGATGGACCTGGAAGGTCTAATAGGCTGTCTACAGAGCAAAAGAGAGGTATAGGTATGTGGGATTCTGCAGGAAAACAGAAGTCATACCTCGGGGGCCTTGAGTGGCCTGCAGGCTGGAGCAGCAGGTTCCTGTGAAAGACTGGTGGGAAAAAAGCTGAAAAGTAGAAAAGTATCACATCATGGGGGGCCTTGGTTAATCCACAAAGAGCTTGGACTTTTTCCGGAAGGCAGTGGGAGGGCTGTTGCAGGATTTGAGCCCAGGGATGACATGACTGGCATGGTATTTTAGAAAGTTTTACAAAGGAGTGTAAACAGGATGGCTGAGAGGCAGGGAGAAAGCTGATGAATAGTGTATGGAAGAAGCTAAGGGGGTCTCAGCTAAGCCAATGACAGTGGAAATGGAAAAATAAGGGACCATCTTGAAGAACTCAGTGAAGGACCCAACCTGGCAATGGTTGGCCATGGCTGATAAAGAGGAGTGAGCTGGCAACAGGAATCTTGAACATCTTTCTGAACCTCACCCTCCAAACACACGGTTCTTTCTTAATGAGCTGAGGTGATGTTTCAGTTAAGGATCTGCCCTCCGGACTTGCCAAGAAACGATGAGAAATGGATTGGATCCTGAAGCTGCCTGGGGATCTCCGGACGTGATCCCACATGCGTGCTTGGCAGACAGGATCATGATCCTGACAGGAGATACAAGCACACTGCTTAGCCAGCTGTGGTTCCTGGTTGCGGGTGGGGTGGGTGGGTAAAATTTCAATGAGCTGGAATGCCAAGGCAGGGGGGCTTCTGGCTAACTGGACGTTCTAGTAACTGAATGTAAACCGACAGTCCTTCTCGATTGCAATCCCTGTGCAAGATTTGTCTAAAATGTGCTTAGCTTAAGAAATGTAATAGATTGAACAGAACCAAGTCTTCGGTTCTAGAATCCTAGGCCTGTTCTGTCCAGTATGACAGCTGCTCACTACATGTGGCTATTTAATTTTTAATTAAATGAAATTTAATAAAAAAATTCAGTTCCTCAGTTGCACATATTTCCAGTGCTTAATACCTACATGTGGCTGGGCGTACCATATAGACAGTGCACACAGGGAATATTCCATTATTGTAGAAAGTCCTATTGAATGGCACTGTCGGAATCATGAGGAGCCTTACAGATGATCTGGCCCAGCCTCTTCCACTTACAGACAGGGAGTCTAAGGCCCAGATTGATGGAAAGATATGCTCACAGATGCAGAACCAACAGGTGGAAACTGAAGCCAAGTGTTCCGACGCCAAGCCTAGCGGGTCTCTCTGAGCTTATTATGCTTTCTCTAAGCACTGAGGTTTATTATTCTTTCAAGCTAATAAATATTTCCTCTAAAATCCCTTCTCTCATGTCCCTAAAAATAGAGACTTTTTTTTCTGAGATTCTGAAACTCTTTCCTGGGAGTGCAGTTCCCCTTTAAATAACAACCAGCAGAATCTCCATATCCTTTGAGCATTTGACTGAGTAAGAGCACAAGTCTCACTCAGGCTGTGGCCAGAGCAGGAGCAATCACACAAGAGTAGCCGGCCGGGAGTTTAAGCCCCTAGACCCTACGGGGACTTCTGCAGGCTCCTTTTCCCCCAGCACAATATTGTCCAGTCCAATCTGGTTCATGTTCCCACATCTGCGTGTCACTCCGACTTGCCAAGACCTGTCTGATCACCCAAATGCCGGTTAAAGCTTTTTATATGAGACCAACCCCCACAGCCCCGGGGCCTGGAGTGCTGCCCCCTGCTGGACATGGATGGCCACCATCCTCTGTATTTGGATGGTACTTTCAAGCTAGAGACCTTGCAGCTGTCTTCCTGCTTAGCTCATCTCACTTCCCTGATGAGTGAGGAAGCCCTGAGTATCGACTTAGGGAAATATGCCCACCAGCACCAGGGCATATTTCTCCTGGACCCAGTGCTACGTACACGGGGATTCTCAGAGAAACTGTGTCCTCATATCAATTAACTTTAATTAACTCCGGTTTATGGGAAAACTTAGGCAGGGCTATGGTAAAGTAATAAAACTTCTGACATATTTGATGTTTGGGAGAAACTCCCACAGGTAGCAGGATTCTCCCACAGTGGGATTGGGAAAGAAAAGACCTATGTTTCATGGACACAATTTTCCCTGAGGCCATTAAGGAGTCTGGGACTTTTGCTTGCACCTCGCTGCCAGAGAGCGAGGCCCCCTTCTGGGTGGGGAGTGAGGACCCACTGGGCAGAGCTGCCTGCATGAAGCCTGGCCAGAGGGCAAGGGCTCCTGGAGAGAAAGGCCCAGGAGTGACTGAGGGAGGGGGCAGAGTGTGGACTGAATTGCACTGAATGGATCTTTCCCTCCCTATTATAAAGGGGACACTTTTACGATATGATCAAAAAAGTGTATGCCAGGCGATAACTGGGGAAATCGTTAACAATAAAACAATTTTCTTTTGGGGTTTCATAAATTTTAGCACATGAGTGCAATGACCTCAATTTTGCTAAAGAGGAAGCTCCTAAGATCACTTGATATGATCTTTTTGAACAATTGGTCAAGGTAAGTTTACTTCCACATAGTCCTGTCTCTTAGCCATAAAGAAGTAACCAAACACACTCGTAAGCGTCTTGCCATAATGAGACTATCAGTGGCGTTGGCTTCAGAAAACCTGGGCTAAAATCCCAATCCTACTGCCAACGTGCGGTGATTTTGGCAGATCCCCTAACCTCTGTGCATCTCAGTCTCCTCCTTGCTTTTGGAAATGGGCATAATTCTACTTCCTACCCAGAGTCGTTGGGCTAGACTGCATCTGAAATGCCTATCATGATGCTGGCACGTTGTAAGGGCTCAATTAATGTTGGTTAAGGAAAACTGCTTTAGCCATAAGTCCCTCTTGTCTTCTGATTTTCCCCAATGATTTTGGCAGCCGAGTCACTTTTCGGAGTCAACTGAAGCTCAAGTTTCAGAAATAGTAGCAATAGCAGCAGCAACAACACAATAACGCGGGGGGCAGCTTTGCTTTGCTCCGAGGTTATAGAACATCTGGACGGACTTCCAGTCTTCGTCTAAATGCCTCGGTAAAGTGGAGGGTCCAGCATCTGAGGCCCAAAGTCCAGTTCTGGAGTCCATCTGGGTGGTGCCCTCTCTCTGCCCAAGCCCTCTGGCTCCACGGCAGACTAAAGCTCTCCCCACAAGCTCTGAGGGATCCAATTTTTAGGCCTCATTCATCATGCTCTGGAGAGCAGCGGTCGGCAAACTACTGCTTACAGGTTAAATCCAGCTGCTGTCTGTTTTGGTCAATAAATTCTACTGGAACACAGCCATGCCCATTCTTTTCCATGTGGTCTGTGCCTGCTCTGTGCCGCAAGGGCAGAGTTGAGCAACTGTAGAGCAAAGAGACCGTATGGCCTGCAGAGCCTAAAATATTTACCATTTGGCCTTTTAATAGAAAAAGTTTGATGCAGAGGAAAGAGGATGTGCTGGAGTTAGGAGAGTTAGGAGTGCGGGGCCTGGTCCCGGCCGCCTGTCTGGCTGACCTGCTCTGTGTCCCTGAGGCGCTCACGGCCCCTCTCTTGTCTCTGACTGAAGAAG